CATACCTTTCATATCTTCTTTTCTTTTTTTTTCTGAATGCCATGGTACCTAGTTCAAAAAGGAACATGCATAGAAGGTGAATACATATCTCGGTGTGCCTGGGATAGCCCCAGTTTACATCTGTGGTCCTCACATGGTTATTACAGTGCCCCTTTCACTCCAAAAGTGTCCCTGTATGGATGATACATTGGATGCTTATCTGACAGTTGGGAGAACATAGGCACTAAGCCTCTGGCTTTCATCCTTTCCTGAACTTGATAACCGGAAAGTAGTTGCTTCTGCTAGGTGTCCTCTTTGCTCAGCATACCTCTCCTTTCTGTTTTTTCCTGCCATGGCAGCCATTAATTCTTCCCCCAGTCTCATCCCTGCTTTTTACCCTGGGTTTGGTCCAGGGAAGTGTCTGCAGCAGCAGGATTTGAGGAAGAAGAAAGGGTAAGGCAGGATAAATTTCTAAGTTAACTGCTCCCTTATTATTCTCATCATTCCTATGCCTCCAACCCCATCATCCTGATCTCATCTCAGTGTTCCCAGGCATCATCCCTATCCTTTATTTTTCTGTTCCTTATCCTTCAGTGTCTGACCCTGCTTTATGTCCCAGCATCCATGACTGATTTTAGCTCCAGGCTGATAGCACAGGAATGATCACCAGGATCTATCTTATATTCAGGGTGACTCCCAATCTCAAAGTAGCTGAGATGCTCCTTATATCTCAAATTGTAACTCAATATATTTTCCTATAGCAGCAATGTCCAAAATGTGTTTTGGGGAACTCTAGTTTTGGGTGTTAATATTTGTTACTCAGTGAAAGGGTTTCAAAGTCAGAGAAGGTTGATGAATTCTCAATGGAACAATTTTAAGCAGTTTTCTTTCCTGCAGAACTTCTTAAAGCCTTTAATATGCAAATGTATATTATGAATCTCTGAGTGGGATATATGATATGCTGTGTTTCCCAAACTTATTTGGCCTTAGAACTTCTTTCCTTGAAACTTTCTTAAGGGAATATTGTTCTGTGAAATATATTTTGTCTTAAAGGAACATACTTAACTCTTGTGGGTTAGGACAGGTTCTTGTGAAATGACACAGAGGTCTATGGAACACAGGCATTGTTGTTCCAATGGGACAATGCATTCTAAGTTCTACAATTACATTTTTGGAAGACAGCCAGTTATGAAGCGGACAACAGCATGTAAGAGCCTTCCAGCTATGAACCGTGTGACTGTCCAGAAAACAGAGGCAGATGACCACGTCTGGCATCTGGGATCATAGGTCAGAAGAGCTGGTATCTAGTTTCAACTTTACCACTATTGGCTGGGTATTTCTGGGCAACATTTAACATTGTGCCCTCAGTCTCTTCAACCATAAAATGGAATGATTAATGGCGGTATTAAAATAAATATAAATAACACCTATTAACATATCTCGCAGGAATTTTAGGAGGATCTAATGATATGATGGCACAAAAACATTTTGAAAACAGGCGGCTTTCTTTTCTTTTTTTTTTTTTTTAAGATTTTATTTATTTATTTGACAGAGAGAGAGAGATCATAAGTAGGCAGAGAGGCAGGCAGAGAGAGAGGGGGGACCAGGTTCCCTGCTGAGCAGAGAGCCCGATGTGGGGCTTGATCCCAGGACCCTGAGATCATGACCTGAGCCAAAGGCAAAATTGCCTAACCCACTAAGCCACCCAGGTTCCCCAACAGTAGGCTTTTCTTACTAAGTATATACTAAAACCATACTAGTGCTTAAGTAACTTTGTTTTACAATAGGGGCAAAGTACACAAACCCAGAGATAACCTGCAAACCTTTTTTTTCCCCTCCCCCAAACACGTCAAACCAAATTATTCTCTCCAACACTGGTAATAACAAATAATTCATAGATTTTAATTTCACTTTTTTCTCTTTCTATATGTCTCTTGTGAAGGCAAGTACAGTGGCCAATACAAAAATGAAAATCAAGGAAGAGAAGTTGAAGTCCTCCATTTAATAAACTGCATCATCAAGATAAGATAGATCATTGTCACATTTGAGTTTTAAGTGAGGTCTGACTGACTTGGAAACAATATAACTGGGGCAAAGACCATCCCCAGATTTCAGGCAACTTTGGATCCAAAGTTATTAGTTATCACTTAACATTCCCATTGGTAAAAACTAAGAGCATACATCTGTTGACAAAGCCTAAAATGTCATTTGTGACACCATGAATGAACCATTTCATAAAAAAGCAGGAAATACTTGTTACCACGCTTCTCCTTTGTTTCCCTCAAGTGGCATGGAAGAACTTGTCATTGGGTCACAGGCAACGGCAACACAGGTGTGTTTCTTGGGCCTCTCAGCTTCAGGACTTAGAGCCATCTATTAAATTATCTCATGGCTTTCTGGGTATTCTTGGGCAATATTCAAACTTTCTGGTTCAGAAACTGACTTAGAGGAGGGGAACTCTGAATAACCTTTTCAAATATAATTTATCTGGAAGATTCTGGTATGGTAAACTTGGGTTAGCAATTAAATTTAATTCCTTGCTCTGTTTGTTTGAAATGGAACTTGTAGCAAAAGTAAATGTGCTGTGCTGACAGATGCATTCTTAAAGTAATCTCCATTGTTTATTACTTTTAGATAGAAATCCTGGATGAATGTGGGAAGGTGAATTATAAAGGCAAACATGCATAAGAAAGGGCACTTCCTTATCATCGTCACATATGTATTTATGTTTAGTGGCTACTTGAGGAAGGGGAATCTTTTTGTAGATAACACAAATTAGCATCTAATTTAGAGACACTTTCTTTAAAAATTATCTGGTTGCTTCCTTTTATCAGAAACTGTCTGAATATTCCTTTTTCTTTACTTTTATCATTTCATGGGAAGAAAGTAACATTTTATAAGCAAGCATGGCTTACATGGAACTCTTTACTGATGTTTTATTATATGTTACTCTATTTGCTGTCTTTCTTCTCAAACAAAGCATCTCAAAGAATATTATACAGATTCATCATTAATCTGAATAGATAGTGAACCACTTGTATGCCATTTGATGGGTATATGTACCCTTCACTGCATCCACAGTGATTCAGTGATTCCATGTTAAAAATGCTCATAGAACCCAAGCACCCTCCACTTCTCTGCTTTGGGTTCCACCTTGGCCACTTAGCACATGACACCAGTTTTAGGCATTAGATTGAGTTTGTCAACAGTGAATTAATTAGCACACATTTCATATTGTGGTTAAGGAGGGAGAGCAAATGAAAGATGGAAACAGGATTGAGAAGAATTGAGGGCAACAGATTATTCTATCTTTCAAAGATAAAGTTCTGTGGAAGGAAGCTTCTTGGGGCTTGTTAGGAATATAAGGCTCTTCACATGCGTGGAAGAATGGGGAGCAAAAGGAATTTCAATTACTTTTTCATGAAATCTTACCCAGAGTTGAACAAAGAGAATTCTAAAGCTTTTGCGTATGCGATTTTTGGGGGATGGGGGAATGAACATCAATATTTCCCCCCCTTCTCTGGTATTGCTTCCATAAGAAGAATTATTGAAATGGAACTCGTTCAGGTTTTTTATAAATCAAAATGTCAACAAATACAAGCACTAGTCTAGTTACAATAAGAGATCGTAGTTTACAGAATAAAACTAACCCTGTTTCTCTCTTTTTTTTTTTTACCCGTACAAAGAACACATTGTTTATTCTTGTGTAAAAACATCATGTAAAGAAGCTCTCCGTCAGGTAGTCTGTTTTTATTTAGTAGTTTCATAACTCAATTATCATGTTCCTCTCTGCCTAATAATTAGCATATGCATAGTAACAAGGCTTGAAAACCTGTTCTTTTCCCCACTGTGTGACAGTTAAATTTCCAAGGTGTTTGGAGAACGGTTGTGCCTGTGTAGGTGAGTTGCCTTTCCCTGCTGCTCTGGCAGCTTGCCCCTGTGTAGTGTTGAGGGTCAGCTTTTGGAGAAAGTCCCAGCCAGAGGCCTGAGCAGGGACTTCCTGCCATCTGGAACAGTCTGGAGCACAATGAAAGATGTCAGCAAGAAGTACTCAAATGACTCCCCACCAGTTCCCTGGGGATGAACAGTATTTCCCCCAGTTCCATGATTGGGGAAATTTAACCATCACTACCAGTAATTTGATGTGCAAATTTTGAGCTCTGTATTTGGTTGCCTTCCATGCTCTGGTTTTTGTGGCTGCTTATCACCTTTTGGACATTTTTTTCTACGTTTGAGGAATTCCCCATAGCATGAGTCCTGCTTCCCCATCACATAAGCCCTAATGCATTTTCCCAGCTTCTTTTATAACAAGGTTGCACAATTGTGACCTAGGCGCAGGTCAGTCACCTTGCTTGTAGGAGAATTGTTTCAGAAGAGCACAATGAGAGGAAGTAAGTACCTAACGGAATACATTTTCTGGCAAAAGTGGCAGTGGAGGCTTCTGGCTTTGAAGGGAAAACAGTGATGGAGGTTCTGGCACCGAGGGTCCAGTTGTAACAGTGAACACTGAGATGATGGGGTTAGGGCCACAGAGGTCCTATATGGCAACTGTGATGGATGTAGTGCCTAAGACCAAGACCTTTTTTCAATAAATTAAAAAAAAAAATTTAAAGGCAGCTAATATACTTTTTCATTAGACATACACATTCTGAAAATCAAAGCATTTAACTTTATTTGCTGGATTGTTTTAAAGTTATGACAACTTTTAGGAATGACAAATTTTAGGTGCATTATTTTCCCTAGGCAAGTAATACAGTTTGTGAGAAATAAACTCAAAGACCAAGGTGCTTGTGGGAAACTGGTGAGGCACAGTTACTCTACACATGCTTTGGGGGCATATTCGGGTTTATATTTACTTTGGATATTGTCATTTACCCATATCAGAGCTTCTTTCTCCCTCTTTCTCTACCCATTTCTCAAATCTATATTATTGCACTAGTCTGATTTTACCTAGGGTTGGATGGACCGAAGTTCTCCAGAGAACTCCTGGCATTTAGGCAGGAATGCAGAACCCCATTAGTCGGGGGTAGGTAGAGGAGTTACAATGGGACTACAATAAAGTTCCTAGTGTGAAAGAGAAGAAAAACCCATCCAAATCAGTGAAAAATAGATTTTTTGAAGTAAAGGCTATTTATTATTTATTTTCTAAATAACTTACAAGATAAAAGAAAAAAAGATATTTTTAAAGAATATGTCGATTAGTTTAAAAAATATAAGTCATTATTCGCCCATGGTTATGGGTCTTAACCATAGTTTACATTATGGAAATAATAGGTGGACCCAAAATTTGAAGATATGTTTGGGGAATATTAGTAGGCTCCTTTTTTTACAGGGAAACAATCATTATAAAATAGTTTCTCAGCCAGAATGACACACTACAACTGTATTACTGCAACATGACAAATTTATGGAATCTAAATCAGTAAGTTTTAACCATAGAGATAAATTCTGAGGGATGAGGAATTTATGAACTCAGTACACCATGCTAAGTTACAGGAATCACAGTGAAAGATCTTCACTATTTTTTGCCCCTTGCTCTACCATAAGGTTGGGAAAGACCAATACTCTATGGGCACCTGAGTGGCACAGTTGGTTAAGCATCTGACATTAGCTCAGGTCATGATCTCAGGGTCCTATCCAGACCTGCATTGAGCTCTGTGTGGGGGGTCTGCACCTAGCAGGGAGTCTGCTTGTCCCTCTCCCTTTCTGCTTGTCCTTCTCCCTCTGTACCTCCACCTGCTTGTGCTCTTTCCCTCTCAAATAAATAAATCTTAAAAAAAAAAAAAAGAAAGAAAGTAAAAAAAGAAAAAGACTGATATTCTAAACTCTTATGAGCCATTTTTTTCTTTATTCATTCTATTGGTTTTAAAAATTATCTCCCCTTCCATCTTGTACCTTGTGCCATAATTTCTACATAATAGAATTCCCACTATGAGTACTGTTCAATTATTAGTGACCTAAGGAAAGACAATGTAAATGTTTTGGAAAAGGTTCCTCAAGTAAGTCTGTAACTGAAAGGATGGAGAAAGGAAATCACAGTTGACTTTCATGGTTCAGGAGCACTCTAGGTCAGTTTCTAATGTTCTAGATTCCATGAAGCTATGTGACTGCTTCACAAGTTTTATTAATTCTGTGATTTCCACTATGCATGCAGAAAGGTAGGAGAACAATGTCCTCACATCGATACTATTTTTTCTTTTTTCCTTTTAATTCCCATTGGTTATTGGTAAATAATTTTAAAGTCAGTCTTGAATTCTTTTCTCAACACCATTTCAGTATTTCTACAATTCTGAAACTAGCACTTCAAAGGGTAGGAGATATAAAAGATGTGGTGGTGTTATATAGATAACTCCCAAGTTATCTTGGGAAGTTGGCCTGGTCTGTCTTTGAGTTCCATCCAAACACTGATGTGCAGGTGTGGGATGCAGAGGGCTCTCCTTTCAAAGAAGGACATGCTACCCAGACAAGGGAAGTGTTGTGATTTTCAGGGATGCCTCAGCTGATAAGTGCCACCTCTCCAGAGATCATGTCCTCCCTAAGGCAGATTGGGTGAGGCTTTGTCAGGCCTGCCCTGGGGCTGTCTTCTTTCTTTGTACAATCCTACTTCTTCTTTCCTTTCACAGAGCTGATGACGCCTAGTAAACATTTCACACTCAGCTCAGACTCTGCTTTCAGAGAATCTCGCATTTAACAACAGGCAAGTCTACAGGATCTGGAGGCTTTTCCAGTCAAAGTCTATATGATCTAAGACAGAATTTTGAAACTTTCCTTATCCCGAATCTACGTATCTTTTTAAAAAATAATTTTTCTTTTGTTTGGTTGTAGTTTTAATTTTTGGTTTATTTTTGTTTGTTGGGGAGTTTTGTTTGTATATTGGGAACAATTCTAGGAAGCTCTTTATTTAAAAACTTGAAAAGAGTAAAATGCTGATTTCCCCGAATAACTTCCATTATTATAGAAACAATATATTCCCACTGAAAAATAAATTTGCTTCTATCACATGAAGTAATTTATAGTTAAAGGACTTGTACATGCAATATAAGGAGTAAACTCTCTTTTTCTATGTGAAATCTATGGATATTTAAATCTTCTAAGAAGTTGGTCAAATAGATAATCTTTTGAAGTGGACACATAGTTTCCATTTTTCTCCACCTCCAAATGATATATGATTCTTTCTTCTCCATTTCTTTTTTTTTTTAATTAAATATTTTTATTTATTTATTTGGCAGAGAGAGACAAAGCGGGAGAGGGGACACAAGCAGGGAGAATGGGAAAGGGAGAAGCAGGCTTCCCGCTGAGATGGGAGCCCTATGATGCAGGGCTCGATCCCAGGACCCTGGGATCTTGACCTGAGCCAAAGGCAGACACTTAAGGACTGAGCTGCCCAGGCGCCCCATCTCTTTTCCATTTCTTACTGCATCCAGCTTGGGTCAGTCCTTCATCAGTTCCCACTTGGATCCTTGTTTATAATAACCCCTCCACCTCCCTGCCTCTATCCACTCTTCCATCTCTTCTTCACAAAACAAGAGTGGTTTTTCTAAATTGCAAATCTGCTCAGGTAATTCCTCTGCTTAAAATCCTTCAGTGGCTTCCCACAGCTACTCAAGGATTTAAAATCCATTTTTTTCCCCATAGTATTCCTACAAAAGTCTTCATGAATCAGTCTTTGCTTACTCTCCAGCTTTATCTCCACAACTATCTCCAGTTTTTCCACTTCAGGCAAATTCCTTGTAGCTTCTGAAATGTGTGCAATCTCTCTTCCCTTTCTGCCTTTGTACCTGCAGCTCCCTTTGTTGAAATGTCCATCCCCACTTTTAAAAATTATTATTTTTTTAATTAAGCTTTTTTTTTTTTTTTTAAGGTCTTTATTTATTTGAGAGAGCGGGCTTGTGCATCCAGTGGGGAGGGGCAGAGGAAGAGAGACAGGCAGACTCCCCAGTGAGCATGGAGCCCCACACAGGGCTGAATCTCACAACATCTGGATCATGACCTGAGCTGAAATAGAGAGTCTGGAATCTTGGGACGCCTGAGGGGCTCAATTGGTTGAGTGTCCGCCTTTGGCTTCAGTCGTGATCCTGGGATTGACGTTGCAATGAAGCCTTGCGTGGGGCTCTGCTTAGTGGGGAGTCTGCTCCCTCTCCCTTTGCCTGCCACTCTACCTGCTTGTGCTCTCTCTGTTAAATAAATGAATAAAATGTTTAAAAGAAAAAGAGAGAGAGAGAGAGAGTTTGGAGCTCAACTAATTGAGCCACCTGGTTGCTCTGAGCTAAACCTTATTCTACAGTCCAGGCTCCGTGCAAACAACAAGCAAGCTCTAGGGAGTAGTTCTCCACGCCCCCAGAGTACCCACTGCCACTAACATCTTTCATAGCACTTAGAAGACCATACTGAAATATAAGACTCCTCTTTAGATTATGAGATTCTCAAAGAAAGAAACTTTATCTGTAAATCCTCAGCACTTAGCCCAGTACCCAGCTCATGATAAGTCCTTAGTAAAGTTTTGTACTTTTCTTTTATGGTAGCTACTGCTTCTAACAGATTTTTGCATCCCCTCCATTGCTTAGCAAAATGCTGTGTTTGCTCGATACTACATACTGTAGGTGCTCAATGAATGTTTGTTGAGTGGATAACTATATTGCTGTTGTTTTTAGTATTACCATTCTATCTTCAATAAAAGCTTAAAAGATTCCAATTACCAGAAGTAGCTTAGAAAAACATTTTAAGTGTTGATTGACCAATAGAAGTCTCTGAAGATTTTATTTCACTCTAGAGCAGTTGCCTAAACCATGAACTACAAGCTAATAGTATTCACAGGAGAGAGACTTCATCTATTTGCCTAGATCGTCTGTGATATTAGCTATGCAAATAAATATTTTGATTGTTCATTTGGGAGAAGAGGATTACTTGATGACTGTCTTGAAGTATATGCAGGCTTATTATGAGGAGGAGGATGACTTAATTTTTTTCCCATTGCCTTGCCGATTCAATGAGGAAAGGTACTTCACATTGTATTAACAGTTAAGGATAAGAATTTCTTTGCTGTGGAATTAAGGGACATTCTGGAAACTCCCTCTTTGCAGATATGACTAAATGACATCAAAATTCTTGTTTTCACCTTTGAATCCATGAAATTTGAAACAATGTCAACACGGTGGCCAACTGCCACCATTACACAGAGGCTATTGAATTAGGCATTACCTTCTCTAGTTGCTAAATTCAGGTAAGAAATAGCAGACACATGCTATCAGTATAGGACCATTTTGTACTCCGCTAGAGAATCACAGTATTATCCTTGCAGTTATACCTCACTAGGGAGACAAGAACCAGGAAAAGTTAAGTTCTAGTAAAAGGCAGCTTATTCTATGTTATATAAATTATAAGAGCGGAGAATTCAAAGGAGTTAGGAGTTGGAGAGGAATAGGGAAAGGCATGCAGGCAAGGGGAACTGCATGTACAAAGTGATATAGTGTTGACAGATGTGCCAGGTATATTTCAGAGGTAACAGACCACGTAGGGCATACACCAACTCTGAGAAAGAAAACATTTATAAACATTCACTAAGCACATATGATATGCTAAGCTCTTTGCTAGACCCAGTACATGCATTTTCTCATTCAGTCCTCATAATAACCCTAACATATAGGAGTAACATGTCAGTGTACAGTTGACAAAACTGAGGCACAGAGAAGTTAAATGACTTGGCTAAGATCCCACAGCTAATGACAGAGCAGGGAATCCAGTTTGTCCGACTTCAGCTACTGGAACTAAAATTTAATTCCAGAAACACTAGTAATCACTTCCCAAAGGCAAAATACACACTGAGGTAGGAATTGTAAGGCTTGAGAGCAGGGAAATATCTTCTTCAAAAATATATTCATACAAGGCTCAACATATAGGTATTGTGTAAGCATCTGTGAATGGATATGCTATTTTCAAGGAGTAAATACTCGTAGGGAAAACAGACAGGCTTAAATAACTATAACTTACTGAAGACTGTAGGGACTGATGAATCAGACTGGATAAAAATTGGAGGGGAGAGAAAATCATCCTATAAGCAGTGAGGA